CCACGTGCCCATACTAAAATCTAAATTTTCTTCGATTAGTGACTTATTTTATTGATCGTGCCCACCCTGAAATCTGAGTTTTCTTCTATTAGTTACTTATTTTACAGATAATGTCCACTTTAGAATTTGATTTGTACACACTCCATATAAAAATTTTATGTTGTTAACATAAATGTGCCTACTTAAAAGCATGTCTAATTGTAACCTTTTGAATTTAAATCATGATTTCTGCTTAAGGTTTATATGGGATTGAATTGTGTGTAAATGATGACATAAATTCGTGTATGTCATTTTCTTGGTGATTTTCTAATGCATGTTGTGTATAACTTAACGTCAAAGTTGGTGTTTCAAAGTTTCTTGGTTAAAGCATCAAATAGGGATTTTTTTTTTGTAATTTAGTAAACTGTATTTTCGTAAAATAGGATACGAACTCGTTTCGAAACCTTTGAGTTAGACTACTATGAGTTTTAAAATCCTCATCTAAAATTTCGAAACCTTTGAGACAGTCTACTTAAAATTTCAAAACCTTTCCTAAAATTCTCCAAACCCTCGTCTGATTTGACAAAATTGTTTATTTAACTCTCTTATCGTGGTAGTATCGATACTTATCTTACCTTTGGTATTGTTACTATAACAACAATATCGGTATTGTTCATGCAATATCGATACTGCAAGAATAATATCAATACTACTCACCCTAACATTAATTTTGTGTCTAAATTCAAATTTTATGAACTTTGAATCATTTTTGAAAATATTGAACTATTAAGTCCAAAAACATTTTGCCGTTTTATCAAAATAGGTTAAACATAATCATATAAATAATATATAAACATTTATTTTATTTCAATTCACATGATTTCAATAATTAAATAAATTACTTTACTTTAGCACATCTAATATGTATTTCATATTCGGAATCAAACATATCATGGATTAATCATATATATCATTGCATCATATAATTACTCGAGCATACTTTTGTTGGTCCTATGGAGGAAAATAATGAGAATGGCACAACAAAATTTAAAAAAAAAAACTCTTAAAAATATGGATCAATCGGGATACCTAAAATAATAAACCAATTCAAAATCAAGTATTTGTATATAATTATTCCTCTACCGATAAAACCAACAATCTTTTCTGATTAATTTGGGTTAAAAAAAGAACAACCTTTTCTGACTCGGTTGTGGCTGTCTCATGTTTCCTATTTATATGACTATTTCAAGTGTTTTGAAAAAATATTAGCCTCACAAATAATTCAAACCATCAGTAATTTGCTGTAAGTGACGGATGCCTGTAACTGTCGTTAAAAAAATGGCTTCCCATAACTACTTATTAACTGACCATTCCCCTTCTTGTCTCTACTTTCTTTTATGTCTGCCATTTCCATGCTTATGCTTAACCACTGATAGTTCCATTGCTTTTTGTCCCTTTGGCAAGGTTTTCATTCATTTCAACAATGGAGGACTGTGGGAACATATTTGAGAAACGATTCGTTGGGATAAGCAAAATCCAAGTAGGGAAGCCACCCACCAGGCTACAGAACCATGCCCCTCAATCTCTTCAGCTTGATCAATTAATGAAACCCTCCGTTGCCACGACCGGCATTTCTGAGGCTCCGACTCCGATTCCGCTACTCACACCGCTCTCTTTATCGCCTATTCCGTTCACCGAGACGGACGAGTTCACGTTCCCGACACCCAAGGATATGAATGCTCCAACACCTACACCATTTGGGTGGAAGCAACCTATTGGGACAGGGTTTAATGTAGAGGCTTCGACTTTCTTAGCTCAGTTTCAAAACAAATGCGTTATTGCCAATGATGCAAAATGATGGATGTTCTTCTTCTGCGTTGTACAATCGTGTAATGCTCCATGGTTTCTTTTCCCATGAAGACAAGCTTCTGGGTTATTTTATTTTGATGTTCATTTGTGTAACCGCAATTATGGGATTCTTTAATTTCTTACAATAAACAAATTGTTTACTTGGCAAAGTCGATAGTTCCCCGGTTATGTGATTTGAAAATTTCAACCAAACTGTCTTCATGCATTGCATAATGTATAAATGAAATTACATAATCCATTGCAGAAGTTTTAAAAAACTGCATTTCAAGGCAGAAAAAAGCTATTCCTTTGTGTACAATGCGACAACCATGGAACCCAAGTAATTGAAGATGGCAAAGGTAGCAAGATATATAAGCCCATCAGTTCAAGACCTGACCTGAACCAACCTTATCAAACCACAGCTGCAAATGCACTCCAAGTGATTGCCAATTTATCTCGTTTGTGTCCATCATTATACAACTGGCACTGAGGACTAGGGCTGGAAATTGGCTGGAGAAAAATCGAAATCTGTAAGGATCTAAACCGACAGGAATGGGGAATAACCGAAATCTTCATCTACGGGATGAGGATGGGGAAGTTTTATCCCCGAAGCTCAAATGAGGATGGGGACAGTGATTGCTATATCCGAACAGTGGGGATAACCGAACCGTACTCGTGTGAATAACCGTGAGGATCCCCGAAAAATATATGTAGAGATCCTCGATGTTTTACAAAATTTTAAAAATATATTTATAATCATTTACCTATATACCTTTAATATATAGTTTAATAAAAAAATTTATATATAATAAAATTGTGAGATTACTTGTTTCCACTGTTACATCTTAAAGTAATTAAAATTGAAGTTTAAATATTTTTTCATTTAATATACATTGATTTGTTGATATTGAAAATGGTAAGATTGTACATATACATTGGATGTAAGATGAATATTGACGTTTGAAACTTTCATATTATATATATATACCAATTTGAGATAATCTAATATATCTTACAAGTTTTAGGTATTATATTGATTTAAAAAATGTTTGTTTATTTTTTGGGATGAAGATTAACCGAAACCCGTAGGGATCGGTAAGAGATGGGTATGGGGAGAAAAAAATCTCCGAACATACAATGAGGATTCCTCAAAACTATACCCGCAAGTGTTAAGGACGGAGTAGATAATGCAAAATCATCCACGTCCTGTCCGTTGTCACCCCTACTAATGACTACATTGAGCTCAAGAGATAAGCCGTTGACGGGAAAGGGGATGTTAAGCGGCTAAGGGTTTTTTAATTATTTTTTAAAATAATATTTGTATTTTTTCTAAAAATATTATTATTTTTTACTAATAACCAATTGGTCCAGTGGGATGGATAAGACACTAAATCTCTTAAGCAAGGTCAGTGGTTCAAATTCTAGCGTTTGTGATAGAGCAAATTGGGTTGGAAAAATTACCCTCACTTCTGCAGTACTCGATCTGAATTACTTAATCAATAAATTTGATATCGACGATTGTACTAACATATATTATTTAATGATTTATTTAACTATTAATGCAACATAAACACCTAAAATTATAATAAAAAAATATTAGATAACTCCTTTTAATAAAAAAACAATTTAAAAATTAAGTTATAGTTTGCACACTTATTTTTTAATTAAACCTTTAATAAATTATATAATCATATATTTAATGTTTTTATTGTAGGGTAAATTATGCAAATGATCACTAATATTTAGATAAGTGTTCATTTTCATCACTAATGTTTTAAAAATCATAAATTAATCACTAACATTGATGTTAAGAGTCAAGTGACGAAAAGCAGATGTACCACGTTAACTGCTGATTTTTTTGGTATTATTTGACTATATTAGACCATTTTGACCGACCCATATTCTTCTTCAACCCAACCCCTTCGTCTTCTTCTTCTACCACATCATCTTTAGCTGATTTTGCATCTTATGTGACAACCTCTTCAACAATTTGTTTCTTTCCTGCTTCTTTCTTTCGTTTTTCTTATCCTTTGCCTTTTAAACTAGGCTCTTCCTCTGTTTTCTTCATTGTTTCCTCTTTTCTAGCCTTAAGTGCTTTAATCAAACACTTCAAACAAGCTTCATCTTCTTCATCATCGTCCGATTTCAACATCAAGTTCTAAGCAACATCGGCCGGTGTCATATCCATTTCTTCCAACAATCTATCAATTTCCCCAAAAATCGGATGAGAATCAATGTTCAGGTAGTTCTTCCAAGACCTTGAATGCTTCAAACCTACAATACGACATCTCTACAAAACCAGATCAAGCTTCCCGACATGGTTGGTCGTGAAAATGATGATTCTTTCGTCACAGCGAGCCAACCAGATCCCGTTGATGAAGTTTAATAGCTCCTATAGCGTTACTTTACTTTCTTTTTTCTCCTCCTTTTTCAACAGCGAACTAATTAGATCAGACCCAAGAAGAATCTAAGTAAACCCAGAAAATAAAATTTGGAGGGGGTAAGGGATTAAGTTACCTTTGTTGATGATATTTTCAAAGACCAGTAAAGTTGTAAGGCAATCTACGAAGAAGAGAGCATAAAATGAAATGAGGGGAAAATGGTAGAAGAGAAGAAATGAAATGAGAGTTAAAACTGGGGGGGTCTGTTAAGAGAATATTTTGTGTTGCTTGGGTCATTGATAGCTTGATTGTATAGGGTGGTATAAGTTTTGTTTATTTCGTTGCAGAGAACCTTTTTTTTTTTTGCTGTCCCCTGGTTTGGGTGTGCAGGGCTGGTTTGTGCAGTTTTGATTTGGGTAGGAGGACCTTTGTATTAAATTTTATGAGGTTGGAATGAAAGCTTAATTCATCTAATGAGTTTTGAGCTAAAAGAAATATATAGACGAGTGGAGATAAAAGAAAAAAGTAGATCAAACTAATCGTTAAACGGTGTCAAATTAACAGTTAACGTATTACATTAGCTTTAGGTCATCTACATTAATGATTGTTAACGTCAAATGATCATTTTGTAACAAACGATAATATTAATAGTTAATTTATAACTTTTCAAACATCAATGATAAAAATAAATACTTATCCAAATACTAGTGACCATTTGTGTAGTTTAATCTTTATTGTACAACTTCTTAACCACCAGAGTTCGGCTTCTCGATCATTTCCATTTCTTAAGCCTAAAGGACAAGAATCTGTGCAACTGTAGGGTTAGGTTTGGGTTTAGGGTTTTTTCCGTTTCAATAGAATTATTGAAAGAAGAGAATGTCGAAATTAATGCCTAATCTTGACCAACAAAGCACCAAGCTCCTCAATCTAACGGTCCTCCGTCGCATCGACCCTTTCATCGAGGAAATTCTCTTCACCGCCGCTCATGTAGCCTTCTACGACTTCAACATCGACCTTAGCCAATGGGTTTCTTTCCTTTTTCTATGCTTTTATTTTTTTTTCACTCCTATTTTCTGCTTCTTTTCATTAACTTCTCTTTGGTCTATTTTCCTTTTTATAGAGCCGTAAGGACGTCGAAGGATCTCTTTTTGTTGTCAAGAGGTAACTTTGAAAGCTTTATTTTATTTTTTTAAAACTTATAAATTTGAAGTATTACTTTCGATTCATAATTCAGGAATACGCAGCCTAGATTTCAATTTATTGTGATGAATAGACGCAACACTGGTTAGTGCCACGCTGCCCCTGTTTTTTCATTTATCAATATTTTTTTTACATTTTTCTTCTTGTAACTTAAGTCCCAGAATGCTTGGTTTACTTATGCAGTTTCTATTTTATTCTAACATTTTTTACGTTTTGATTCGCGTTATGTGTTTTGTAGTAATGTTTTGAAAGCTAAAAAATAGAATATCATAAGATGAATTTGTTCATTTAACTAAGAAACTTCATTGCACCTCTTTAAACAGATAATTTGGTGGAAAATCTCTTGGGAGATTTTGAGTATGAAGTTCAGGATAAATATCTACTTTACCGCAATGCTTCTCAGGAAATAAATGGTATTTGGTTCTATGATGCTCGTGAACTTGAAGAAGTTGCAAACCTTTTTAGCAGGTACTACTAATTTTTGTCATTAGTTTTTCTTTCGGTTAACAGACACTTCATATGAGTATTCTGTCTTTGCCGAGTTCCTGGTCATGGGTCATTTGATACGTTTTTGGTTCTCCTTTAGTCTGCGATAGTAATTAGAAGGGTTTTCTCTCCCTGTCTATGTATTTGCATGATTGTCCACTTTTAAACATTTTCTTAGGTGCCATTTTGCATTAAATATGATTATTTTGATTTTGAACCATGAGGGTTAATTTTTGTGACTTCTCCCCTTTAGAGAATCTGCCTAATAAATTGTTTGCTTCTCAGTTCCTATTATGAGTTATTAATAACCATTAGGTCACCCTTTGTTTAAGACTTTACGTTACTGGAAGGCAGTGTCTGGTTAAGTGCAAGTGTATGGTAGTGCCATGGAATGTATAGTCACCCTTTGTTTGCTTCTTCCCTTTAGAGAATCTGCCTAATAAATTGTTTGCTTCTCATTTCCTATTATGAGTTATTAATAATCATTAGGTCATCTTTTGTTTAAGATTTTACGTTACTGAAAGGCAGTGTATGGTCAAGTGCAAGTGTATAGTAGTGCCATGGAATGTATAGTCAGCGTAGGTTGGACCTTGTATTTTGAGTGAAACCAAAAGGTTTTGCTTGCTATGTGCCTTGAGCCTTTTTAGGACTATGTTGCAAATATAAAGCTTGAATTCAAGCTGGCTCAGCCGCTCAGCTTATGCTATAGCTCTCTCAAAGAGGCTTTCATGTTTGTGTGTGTATTTTGTGGTGAGAATTTAATTGTATTCTAGATTGCCTTTGGAATTTTTTATTTTGTTGTTGGGGCGGTGGCGCAAATTTTAACTGCATATGCATGCCATTTTATGTACTTTTGGCATCTTCAGGATTCTTTCGGCATACTCAAAGGTTCCTCAGAAGTCAAAGGCTGAGGCAACGTCCACAAAAGGGTAAGCATTATATTCCCCCCTTTTTTTTATCGTTGATGCATATGTTTCCTCATATACTTGGAATTAACATTTTCTTCTAAGATCAGCATATTCACATTACTCCAAGTTGAATTTTCTCTAGATTTCTAGTATTGTAGGGCTTTTGTCTTTGATTTTTTCCAATCAATATTGCAGTTTCCAAGAAATATGAAAATCCTTCAAAACTAAACGACCATCTTTTGTCTTATATGTTTCTGAAAGATATGGTAGTGTTTCCCTGTGTTTTTGTTTCTCTAAGTTGAGTTCCTTAGACTATTATCATATTGGACTTTGTAATCCTTTTTTGTTCTACCAAAATAGGTGCTGGTTTTTTGTGCTTTTGTTTGTTTCAGCCAGCAGTATGCTGTGATAAAATAGTAGCAATATTTTTGTAATCCTGCCTAATTTTCAAGATTTGCTGGTGTATTTTTTTTAGAGGAAATTTGTACTTTGAAATGTAGATTCAGTTGTAAAAAGTTTAACTGTAATGAATTATGAATGCAACAATTTTGATGTCGTTCTATCTAATTTGTAAATTTCCAAGATATTTGAATTTTTCTTACTTTTCATCACCATTACTGGTAATATCTTTTGACTTTCCTGTAAATATTTAAGGAACTTTCCTATTCTTTTGCAATTTTCCAAGTAATGATACTAATTACAAATGCAGGGAGTTTGAAGAACTGGAGGCTGCTCCAACAGTGGCCATTATGGACGGTCCTCTGGAGCCATCATTATCAATTGCATCCAATGCTGCTGATGCCCCTGTTGATCATGCCTTTGTGAATTTCTTCAGTGTATGCAGTCTTTTCTAAACAGTGTACCTTAATGAATTAATTTTCAATGCGTTTGATTCTATCCTCTGCTTTCATGCAACATGTTCTCTGCCTACAAAAAATTTATCATCCTTTCTGAAGGCTCATTGTGAGACTCTACAATGACAGATTGTCTTGAATTAATGATCAGAATTGTGATTTTACTTTCACTGCCAATACTTGGACGTTCTTATGCATTGTTGGATAGCACATTGAATGATAATTGTTTAATGAAGCATGTTTATTATAAGGAAAGGGGATGCATCGTATCGAGTTTATAATTTATAACTAACTCTTTAGTCCTTTTTCTAATCCATCTCTCTTTCTGCCATGTCCTAAGTTCTAAAATTTACATGTAAAGGATAGAACAATTCAACATGTTAGGGCTACGAGGTAATATTATTGTTGAACGGTCAATGTGATTTTAAATTTGTCTTGTTAAAGATTGTGAAGTGTTCAATGTGTTCGGCATTGCGATGATATTTCTTATAGTGACTGAATCCTTTCTTATGTGGTTGCAGACAGTTAAGAATGTTGGAAGTGGTTCGAACGTAGCAGTTTCTGCACAACCATACATATCTTCTGCAGCTATGCCTGCTGCACATTCTAACCCTACCGTTGTTGCCTCCCCCACACAATCAGCCTTGCAACTATTGTCTCTACCATCTTCTACTATGTCGAAACCACTACTCAGTACTCCTGAATCCAACAGCAATTATACAAATCTTGTAAAGCCCTCAACGTTCTTTGAGCCGCCTTCCTCTTCTGTACATATTTCAACACACGTTTCTGCTTCTTTGCCCACTGCTCCTCTACCTAACACTCCTTCGAGTCTGCAACGTCCTTATGGTGCTCCATTGCTCCAACCTTTTCCACCACCCACACCATCACCATCTCTTACTCCTGCTGTTCCCCCTCAGAGCTATGGTCTGATTGTCAGCAAAGAGAAAGTTCTAGATGCACTTTTGGCTCTGGTTCAGGTTAGTTTTGTCTGCACATCAGCATTGTTTCGAGCCTCTAGGCTGATTTGAAAGAACTTGGTTCTTGTTTTTAACTGTTATTTTGCCATGAATCTGACCATAGCATTGTATCTATAACAGGACAATCAATTCATTGACATGGTCCACCGAGCACTGCTAAATGCACATCTCTCTTAACCACCATATTCAAGGCACTGGTTTTATTCCTTTTTCTGTACTTTTTTTGTGTCTTGTGATTGTTGTTATTTTCTTTACTAAAGGGTAAAAAAATACAATTTGTATATCATTTTGTCTTCCTCCATGGATATACTCTTAATGATTAATAAATAGATAATATGATTATGAATCCCCCCCCCCCCGCAACGCGTTTTAGAGTTCGTACTTGGTATATTGAGGATGACTTAATTAAACGAGGGAAGTTAAAAAAAAGGCTTAATGCATATTTTAGTTCTTAAATTATACCATTTTTCCTATTTTTGTCCTTAAAGTTTTTTTTTTCTTTTTCCAGATCTAAAATAATTTTCTTTAGGCTTAATAGGTAAATTGATCCCTGAATTATATCCAAAATTTTGTTTTTATCCTTAATTTCTGTCAGAATGGCTTTTAGATTTCATTCTAATTGATGGCGTTAAAAATGTGGTCTTTCTAACCAACGAATGAGTGATGTGGAGGTTTAAATTGAAAATAAGCTATATTTTAGTAATCAAATTAGAAAATATATAAATATATACCCATAAAAAAATTCAGACTTCGGCTAATTTCGATGTGTTTTTGATAATGTTCGTTTTTCCTAACTTTATTTTTACACTAAAATTGTTGTGATGTGATTTTTACACTAAAATTGTTGTTTAGATTTTTGAAAAATATCTTATTAAAAATCATATAATTAAGATTCATTTTTAGATGAGAATGCTAACAAAATTAATCTTTATTGTTTACTAAAATAATTAGTTTGATTTCTATTTTTTTAAAACATTTCGGTCCCTTCATTTTAGGACAAAATATCTTATAGTTGAATGGAAATAATTAACAACATATTAACACTTAAGGAAAATAGGAATTGAACTAATTTCAAAGAGAGTATAATGGGAATTAATCCCAAGCCTAGTGAATAGAAGTAGGATTGGTATGTCACCCAAATTCTACGGGTTTTGATTTAACTCAATTTTATTGGGTTCATTGTTTTTTAAAAAGATACGAGTTCGGGTTACATTTTTTAGAAAATGTGTTTGGATTGGGTTGTGTTCATATTTCGGGTGAAAATATCTTAATCGACTCAAAAAATAATGTTTTTTTAACTTAGATAATTGTAATAATATCCCTTTATGATTTTTTTAAAGTATATCTTTATTTTATTGAATATAATAAATACTTTTTAAAAAATATTTATTTCGGACCAGGTCGAGTTAAGCTCAAATTTTATCTCAAAATGACAAGTCATATTTGGGTTAGATGAAATAACCCTAAATCCAAATTAAATCAAGTTTCGAGTGAAATGTACATATTTTTGGGTCGAATCAAGTTGGCCGAAAAACAAACCAATATTCATCCTTAAATGGAAGGCACAAAGTCTAACCACCATGCCAATTTATTTACTTGTTATATTTTGACCAATAAATTTATTTATTACTCTAAAATTATTTCATATATTATTTTTTATATATTAAATTATTTAAAAAATAAAATTTTAATCATTTTAATTTGATTAAGAAATGCGACATACACTTTATTTTTAATAAAAATTTAAAATCATTTGTTAAATTAAATTAAAATTTAATTTAATGATTATATATAAAAATAAATGTGTAAACTAACAAAAATTAGCTTTATAATATAAAAATATCAATCTTTCCTTTTATTTTTTTAAAGAAAAGTCAATTAAATGATTATGTATATGAAATGTTAAATTTATACAAGTACGAGTTTCTGCTTCGTGGCTAAAGTGTGTGCGCTCCAGTTATTAAATTCTCAAGTTTAAGTCTCCTCATAAGCATTTTACTTTATTTTTTCTATGCAAATTTATAATAGGTTATATGGTAAATGTTGTATTTGTATATGTTACTAAGTATGGAGTTTGGCTCAATGATTCAAGTATGTCCATTGTTCCCTTAGGTCCTTGGTTCAAGCCCCTAAGACCGTTAGTCAATAACAATCACATCACTTACACCGTATGTTTTTAACAATAAGTATTTATATTAGAACCACTTAAATAGTTATGTGGTCATATCGTCAAAATTGGAAGTATGGTAGTTATATGGACACCAATTCCATAGTTAAGTGGTCGTTTGAGTAGTTTACCCTTAAATTTATTTAATTGAATTAGAATTAAGACTAAATTGATCGTATATATAAACAATAGTGATGACCAAATATATGATTATATCAATTTTTTAATGGCCAAGTTATCCTGCATTAAACATTAACGATAAGTAGCTTGACTAATGACACTTAAATAATTAAGTGATTTAGTTGAACAAATTAAAATGGATGATCAAAAACAAATTATAATTAAGTGATGATAGATGTGTTCTGCTCTACTTTCATTCTAGAATTTAGATTTACTTCAATTATATGTATAGAATTTGGAAAATCTAGATATATGGAAAGAAATTACTATTATTAATTGAAAACTAATATAAAACATTTGATATGCTTGATAACTGTTTCGAGAAAATAACTTCAGTGACCGAAAATATCTTATAATATACGATTTTAACCAATTTTTTTGGATTTGCAAAAATAACCAACAAATTCGCAACTTGAACATGGAAACGCGAATTTCGTTTTCGCAACGCTAATTACCGATATAGGTAAACACAACTATTCGCAACGCAAATCTCGTTTTCGCAAATCGAATTCACCAATTTCGCAACTCAATTACCGATATACGTAAACACGGTAGAAAAATCCGGTAAAAAATCCGAATTCGCCAATTTGAAAACTGAGTTGCGAATTTGACAAATTCGTGTTGCGAAATGTAAAATCTCGCCTCTTAAAGAAAAAATCATTTCGACAGTTCGTTTGTTTGGTTAAAGTTAAACGAACGAACGAACATGAACATACCTTTGTTCGTGTTTGTTCAATTCATTTGCAGGCGTAGGTTTAGCTGAGTGATTCATATGTGGACTTAGCAACTGGGATGTCCCATGTTGAAAACCACTCCAGTGCATTTTATGTCATTTAATTTTTTTCTTTAAGAGACGAGATTTTACATTTCGAAACACAAATTTGCCAAATTCGCAACTCAGTTTTCAAATTGTCGAATTGAGATTTTTGACCGGATTTTTTCTACCGTGTTTACCTATATCGGTAATTGAGTTGCGAAATTGGTGAATTCGATTTAAGAAAACGAAATTCGCGTTGCGAATAGTTGTGATTACCTATATCGGTAATTAGCGTTGCGAAAATTTCCATGTTCGAGTTGCGAATTTGGAAACTGTGTTGCGAAATAGGAGTTCGTGTTGCGAATTTGTTGGTTATTTTTGCAAATCCAAAAAAAGTTGGTTAAAGTCGAATATTACAAGACATTTTCGGTCACTGAAGTTATTTTCTCTAATTCTTTCTAGGGTAAAGTATAAAAGTATTCCCTTGACTATAAGGTGATATTTTATTTAATCATTCGACTGTTAAAAGTTATAAAATAGTCCCCGGCTACAAGGTATTGCTTCGTTGAATACTCCGATTATTAAAAGTTACAAAATGATTACCCAACTATTTATTATGTTTCAAACTCGTAATTTTCCGTTAAAAAAATTGACAACAATCCGAGCTGAATGTTAACATGTTGATTAAAATATGATAGTTTTTTGAGATTTTGGGATCAGATTTTATCATGTCTCAGTCAACAGGTAAACATCCATCTCAGAATTCGTCAATTTTTTAAACAAAAATGACGAGTTTGAAATATACTAAATAATCATGAGACTCAACAAAAGCAACACCTTATAGTATGTGGATCATTTTGTAACTTTTAATAATTGAGGAACTCAACAAAACATCATCTTACAGTCGATGATCATTTGTATACTTTATCCTAATTTTAATTATTTTAGATGAAAATTAAATTACCAATAAATCATCACCAAACTGAAGGACCTAATGAAAAATATATATGCACAAACCAAATTACCTCAATAATTAAAAGAATGATTGTTATTTCTAGAAATCCCGAGTTCTATCACTAGCGGCTACAATAAAGATTGTCATAACCATTTTTTAAAAATAATTAAATATTATTTTAAAAAACAGTTATGACTTTAATTTTGAAAATTTGAGTGATTTGGAATTGATTTGAATAAAATGGAAAAAAGTCGCCATCGACCTTCGGGTTAGGTAGGTCGAATACCTAAAAATGTCTTTTAAAACAATTTTAAGGAAAAATTGTTTTAAGACAAAAAATTGGTCTGCTTTCACAAAGATTCGATTTAAAAGGGTTCGGGAGTCGGTTACGTGTGGGGAAGGGTAAGCACCCCTACAATGCCAAAAAACTGGTACTGAATCGCTTATACGTGGTCATAAATGGTGGAAATCATGAATCAAATATAAAATTAAATTATGACCCACTTATTGAAATTTAATTAATTTGCTTTGAATTATTAATTAAAGAAAATTCTTTAACTTGAAAAGAGATCTCGAGATTAGCAATCCTCTGTCGGGAAAACTATCTCGACTATTTTTTATCCATAAAGAATATTCCTTCTTTAATAAAATGCTAATCGAATATAAATTGAACTTTCGACTATTTCGGTATCTCATCTGAATCAATGTTTTCACTTATACGAGTAGATTTCCTCCACCTTACCCCCCAGTGTGGAGGGTGATCCTTGGTTAGATTTGAATCATGAGAAAATATCATCCAGGCTCAAATGGGGACACAAGGGATACAATTTTCTCCTTTTGCGACGGGATAAAGAAAGAAAGTTGTTCATCATTTCATACATGGAAGTCTTTGCAGAAGAGGTATCCTCAGGGGGATAAATTTTCAGGATAAATTTTTATTCACATGAAAACAATGTAATTAATGTATGATAGAATTAATTAAATTTTCTTTTTTCTGCTTCTTGCTCCCAATATGTCTTAATTATTCAGACTAATCTTCCAAAAATCGAGCTAGATGCCCCACGTTGTCTCCTTAGAAGTGTTAGAGTATGCCCAAAGACCAATCATATGATGATTGTAATAATACTTTTATTTACCGATTTTATTGAATAAATGCATTGCCGCTATTATTTTCATTTATATATGTGTGTTTAACATAAACTGGAAGATAATAAGTCCATAT